GGGGGGGGGGGGAGGCAAGGGCAAGAAAAGAGGTCAGACATGAATGCTGTTTTCACGCAAGTACCAAAAGCCCCAATAATTTAAGTATTATCTTAAGTAGGATCTTTTTTGTTTTACACAATTAGCATTTCATTTGCTTTCCTATTTTTCTCTGTATTATAAAATGTTTGGTTGTCTTAATATACACTAGTGACATATGCAAGTTGTCCCACTGACTGCTTCATGTGTACCTTCTGTCCCCGCCCAGGCTGCAAAGGCCTGAAGTCAGGGGTCTTCTAAATTCTGTTGAGTCCTCCTACTACCTAGCACAGTACTAGACACAAAACAGGTGTTCAGTAAAGTCATGTTAATTTAATGACAAATGTCTGAATTTCAAGTTTCTCTTTGATTGAAGGAATAGGCTTCTATCTCATTGTCTTCAACAGGGAGCCAAGAACTCTTCAGGAACTATTTTCATAGACACAGGACAATTCTTTTAGGGGACAAAATGAAATACCATGTATTTTGAGTATACCCAAAATAGAATCTTGGCAACCTTGTGTTTTTTAAATGTTATGATGATGACTTTTGCCCATGTTACTTGATATTCATTGTCCAGAGTAAACTGGAGCTGGGTATTGACCTCTGGCCTGGCCTCTACACAGGCTTATTTCCAAGGACTCACTGCCTGGTACACAGCAGGCACTCGAGAAGGGTTGGAAAAAAACTAACTTCAAAAACCAAATTCTAACAAGAATTCAGAACGAAAATAGTTTAGAAATGGTCTTCCTTAATATGCATTTTGAAAGCAGATGGTTTTAGACACATTTTACAACAATCAAAAAGCTTTTGCTAAGTCCCTTGTGTGTATAAGTGTTATTAAATCAAAACGCAAAAAATTCAAAAGTCCAAAAGTTTATTGCCAGAATAGCAAACTTCGTAGACACCTTTTTAAAGTACATCAAAAATGATAAGCAAAATAAACAGAAAACTTTGACCAAAGAAAAGCAAAGATTGCTGCTATCATGCACATACAGTCAAATTAATACCAAACCAACAGATACATAAGAGTATATGGGTCATACAATCCACATTCTAAAACTAAAAGGAGACTCATTCCAAAATGCTTAGGTTTGGGTGGGTTTTTCTTGGGGGGAGAGGGGTAATTTTTCTTGTAATACAGAAAATGAAAATATGTAGATGAGAAACAAAATGATGACTAAAATATTAACGATCGATTTAATTTTCATCTCCAAGAAACAGAAATCTGTATTAAGGCCAAAAGAAATTCAAGAAGAATGGA